GGCCGGGAAACGGTTCGGAGTTGGGCTGCTAACCGTACAGTCAGCAGTTCGAACCCACCATGAGCTCTTTGGGAGAAAGATGAGGCTGTCCAACGCTGCTGAAGATTAAGCGACCCAGAAACCCACGGGGCAGTTCTGCTCTGACCTGTAAATTCGCTGTGAGTTGTATTTGACTTGAGGACAGTAAGTTTGGTTTTCAGTTGGTCGGGGCAAGGGTGCAGGAGCCCATGGGCGACCAGTGAAGCGCCCTTAGTGAGACAGTGTGTTCTGCTCGGGAAAACTAGGATTCAAGGGGCGGAGCCAGAATCCCAACCCCAATTTACTGCAGTCACATTTCTAAAGGCAGGGTCAGCAGTTAGAAACTACCATCCGCCCATGGGGAGAAAGATAAGGCTTTTTCCTCCAGTAAATAGAGCCCCAGGCAGTTCTACCCTGTCCTGTAGAATCGCTGTGAGTCAGAATCGACTTGATGGCAGTGCGTTTGGTGTTTTTGTTTGGGGTTTTGTTTTAATTTTTTGGAAAGTTTCTATGCTATACTGAGGCTGAAAAATCAAACACAGTGTTGACCCAAACCCATTGCCATAAGCATTGGCGACCCATAGGCATTTCCCCTTTGGGTTTCAGAGACCATAATTTTTTATTTTCTGAGACTGTAAATTTTTACAGATGCAATCTCAGCTTTCTCCCTTGGAACAGCTAAAGGTTCAAACGCCAGATATTTCAGGCCGCCACCAGGGCTCCGCATAATTTTAAAAGCATGGGTTTTTAAAAATATAGTATCAAAATAGATCCAGAAAATATATTTCATGCTTTTTATTTTGCCCACCATGAAACCGTGGGTGCGATATTTCACTACAGTACTCGACGTTTGTTTTAACATTTGTGAAATGGGCATGTGGCTGGTATGGCTTTTCTGAAAGGTTAATGAAGCATGGGATGGTGGCTCCCTGAGTCCATAGTCAGCCACCCAGTGCTGTGTTGTTCTGGTATTGCAGGATTCACGTGTACATTGACATCTGGCAGGGTTCCACTGCTATTCAAAGGCATTAGCTGTGTGGATCATCAAAAGCAATGAACAGCATCGAGAAAAATGGGAATTCCAGAATAATTTATTGTGCTTACAGGATGTATACATGGACCAAGAATCAGTCTTTCAAATAGAGCAAGGGAATATTGAGTGGTTAAAATCATGAAAGGCAGGCATAGGTTACATGTAATATCTTATTTGATAAAGTTCTGACCCATTTTAAAGTTGTTTCAGTTAAAAAAAAAATGAAGGGGTGTTAAGAGTAAACCATCCTCTAACAATTGTAGGATCTGTAGGTGCTACTGTATGGTGATAATATATAAAGATCATAGTAAAGTCATAGAAGATAGGAGAGGTAGGAAAGAAGATAAAATGAAGGAGTCAGACACATTTCATGGGAGCTAGCATGCTCTGCTCCGGGCGGGCCATGATCTCAGCAGCCAAGTCCGCACAGAGAGAGGGAGGAGGAGGGGAGTCTTTTTATTTCTGACCAAGGCCTATATATACTTAGGGGTGTGCAAGCCCCCCTGATTAGAGGTAACCACATACATCACAAGAAGGGGCTATACAATAGGCATACACGCCACAAGCCACAAGAAGGGGATGAGCTGGGAGTGTACACACAATAGGAAGGGGAGGGACTAGGGGCACACTTGTGACCAGATGGGCAGATCCTAGATTCAAGATGGCAGCCGAACCTTGGTCGTCCTTGAGTGGGCTCGAACTTGTCTCTGAGCTCTCCTTCAGAGAGGCAATCTGCTATCCTATATCAACAGGGAGTGGGCCCTACTTAGGGTGGGACAGACTATGGAGTCTGATTGCTCTAGATGACTAATAACTCTCAGGGAGAATAACTTCTAAGCAGCTTGCGTGACCTCCAAGTGTACAGTCATTTACCATGTGATGCAAGCAGCATCTTAGGTTTGGCATATATTTGGGGAACAACCTGGGGAAAAAAACTTTTTGTAACCCACACCCAGCCATCTACCTGAAAGCGAACCCTAATTACAAGTGCCATATTAACAACCAGTTCACTGAACTCAACAAAAAGTTAGGTGTCTGTTCTGCCAAACTGGTTCGAACCAGGTGAAACCCACCACTGCCTCCACCACTTCAGACAGGCATTACAAACTTCCTCTTCTTCTTCCTCCATTATTCCCGGGAATCCTCACTTTACTTCTGAAATGGCTCGAAGACACAGAAGCATGGCTTTGATGGAGGTGTGGTTTTGTGTTTCAGGGAAAGGTGAAAATACAGGATAAAAGCCCATCTTAATCCTGTCCATTAGCAAAACAGTGCCATCGAGTTGATTCCTGATCAAAGCAACCCTGTAGATCAGAGTAGAACTGCCCCCTTTGGGTTTCTGAGACTAAATCTTTGCAGCAGCCC